GCTGCCTCTATAGTCAAGAAGTCTGTTGTGTTTCCTCAGCGTCAATTACACCCATGTAACATCATTTATCTAAGACTGAATCCTGATCCTACAAACCAACTTACACGCACAGCCACAGAGCATCAAATGACAGTGGTGTGCTATGAAAGCATGAGCAATTTCCCTTGCAATGTTACTAACGTGTGTTTCACTCGATTAAGATGGCGTATAAGTGAAGAAAGACCTCAATAACAAATCCTATTCTTTGTTCTCTTCCTCATTGACCTTTGCACAGTTTGAGATGTTGAAAACTGCCTTTATCACGGCCCTAGTGGCTCTCACTACGTCTGCCAGCGCATGGCTCCCTAATACCGAACCTCATGCCATGAACGAGCGTGACAATGAAATCTTTGTATACCCTCTTCGAACAGACCCGAACAACAAAAGGTGGCTTCCAGCAACCAAAAAGATCCGAGGAGTAAACCTCGGGTCCCTCTTTATCTATGAGCCCTGGATCGATAGCCAAGAATGGGCCAATACAGGTTGCGAGGGACAAAAGTCCGAATTTGACTGTGTCATGAATAAAGTACAAGATCTTGCAGACAAGAACTTTCAAGCTCATTGGAAACGCTGGATTAATCAAACTGATCTCGACGAGATGTTGGGTTATGGTCTCAACACTATTCGTGTGCCTCTAGGATATTGGCTAAAGGAAGACCTTGTTGATAATTCAGAGCACTTCCCCAAGGTACGTGAAACATTTCTTGATATGATGTAGTTAACATTTGAAGGGTGGCTTGGAATACTTGACGCAACTCTGTGGTTGGGCAAGCGACCGAGGGTTATATATCATTCTTGAGTAAGACTTTCAAAAGGATCGCAACTCATACTGACTGTAAAATTAGCCTGCACGGTGCCCCCGGTGCTCAAGAACCCAATCAGCCTTTTACGGGTCAATATGCTCCGACAGTTGGGTTCTACGGCGACTATAGCTATGATCGCGCGATCGAATGGCTCGAGTGGATGACCGACATAATCCACACCAAGAAAGAGTATCGCAATGTTGGCATGCTTGAGCTCGTCAATGAGCCGCTCAACTGGGACAATGCCGTTGATTCGTTGCGAAAGACATATTACCCCAAAGCCTACAGTGTACTTGACATCCCACTGTTGACGTGATCCAACTCTGACCATTCGTAGGCAATTCGCAAGGTCGAGGATAAACTCAAGGTCACCAGCAACGACCGTCTTCATATCCAAATGATGGGTTCTCTCTGGGGCAGCGGGAAGCCAACCGAGTTTCTCAGTGATACCTCGTTCACGGCTTTCGATGACCATCGATACCTCAAGTGGGATACCAGTGTTGAAGTTTCCCATGAAGCTTACATCAAGAAATCTTGTTCCGATGATCGCAACACCGACGGCCCCACGATCGTTGGCGAATGGTCACTAGCTGTGCCCGATGAGGTTGAAAAGACTGATGCTTGGAATCCTCAGACTCAGAAGGAGTTTTACACCAAGTGGTTCTCTGCTCAGGTGCATGCATATGAAAAGCATACTCTCGGATGGGTCTTTTGGACTTGGAAAGCCAATCTTGGCGATGACTATCGTTGGTCTTATAGAGGTGAGCCCCAATTTCCAAGACGTACGGGCATGATCACTAATAGTAGGAGATGCGGCGAGAGCTGGCGTAATTCCCAAAGACCTCGACTCCCTTCCCAGCGTTTGTTGAAGAACTACATCTTGTGAGCTTGAGAAAAGACGATGCAAGAACTGTCGATGCTATTGATTAGGATTGATTGTACTGATTTCATCTAAAGCCCGATTAAGTCATCGCTACATAAGACTGAACTGACTTTGCGACTATCTACCAATAAACCTGTGCTCCAATGAACAAACGTAATTACCTTCTCAATACCAGCACCAACCATGATGCCAGTCGGTATCCAGCAATGATGGAAATCATGATGCCAACATTGCGTCCCATATGTCCGTTTGAATATCCATACTGGTTCAACACAGCATGTCCGTCAATTTCACACTGATCTGCCAGGGCTGACTGATACATGCAGCGGCACCCATCACCACAGCTGTAGACTCGATCGGCAAACTCGTTGACCATCATGCCCTCAAACACGTATTTCTGATAATCCCAGTAGTGAAAGACGTATTTGTAGAAGACATTAAGGATAGTTGGAGGCACCATGAAGCCACCAACAGACATCCACAGACCATTCGCAAAGGCCACCAGTGCGAGGGAGATTACGAAGCTGGGGAACAGGGATGTCATGAAGACAACTAGTGACTCTGCAGCAAGCAGATCGAGGAACAGCCACAGAACCCAGGTGAAAAAGGCCTTTGCAGTTGGCTGGAAGTTGGAAAGCCAGTATGAGATGACTGAGAAGAGAATAGAAATAAGAAATAGATAAGGAACGCCGATGAAGAAGTTGGATATAATGAGTTCCGCTGCTCCGTAAAGGCCATTGTGATGCTCTTTGACGTATTGAAGCCGATCTTCAATGAAAGCAGGGACATAAGCCACTGCCATGAAACTCATAAAGGCTGAGCCAAAAAATATGGCGTTGATGAATGGCTGGATTGATTCCTGCGCAGGGTCGAGCCTCACCCAAACAGTGCCCATCATGATGGCGAGGCCAAGGTACATGGCGATACGAATGCCGTAGGCTACGACATCTCGATAACTTTTGATGAAACTTCGATGGAGAAGCGTAAGCGTAAGACTGAACATGCTAGGCCTCTTCTCAATTGCATCGACATTCCAGTCACCACCCGAAGATTCGGCAGACTTGATTGCAGTGTTGACTTCACTGGCTTGACGTGAGTTTTGCCATGCAGCTTGTAGTGTTTCCAAGTCTCTTGATGCCTCGCCTCTATCTTGTGCGAAGTCAATGTTGACCAGCTCAAGGAGATGCTCGGCAGGGTTGACATATTGAGGTAGCGGAGACCCAACCTCGGCATAGTACGCTGCAACACTGTTTACAGGCCCAAAGTAATGGGTCTTTCCGCCAGATAGGAGGAGCAGCTTGTCGAATAAGTTAAAGGTCGATGTGGACGGCTGATGAATAGAGCAGATGACGATAAGGTTGTTGCGCTTGGCCACGTCGCGAAGATACTTGACAACTTCTAAACTGGCAGCTGAGTCGAGACCACTCGTAGGTTCATCGAGGAAGAGAAGCTTGGGACTAGTGATGAGTTGGCTCGCAACACCGACGCGACGTTTCTGACCACCTGAGATACCCTTGCGAATAGGCGTTCCAATAAGGGTATTGGCTTGTTCGACTAGACCGAAAGACTCGAGGAGGTTGTTGATGCGGACGATTCGTTCTTTCTTGGACAACGAGCTATTCAAGGTCAGATGCTATCTAGAAGCTGAGTATACTAGACCCTTACCTTGAGCTGGCGAGCCGCGATGAGAACTCGAGTGTTTCTCGAACAGTCAACGAGCCAATGAGAGCATCTTCCTGTTCAACAAAGCACGAAACCTCTCTAAACTCAGCAAGTGATAAATGGCTCCCGTTGATGTTGACTTCTGCTTCAACACTGCTTGCATTCGTTGAACGGCGTGCTAGTACGTTAAGAAGTGTTGTTTTTCCGCAACCTGAAGGACCCATGAGGGCGCAAATCTCGCCTGGAAACTCATCAGCTTAGTATCACTGAAGAATGACGGTCACAACAAACCTGCTTCGACTATGCCTTCAACATTGTCAACGATTGCCTTGGGCTGTTTTGTTTCTCTGTCTTTGACTGTTACAGTGACGTTGCGCCAAGTGAAATTCTTGATTGTGGTGTTGAGAAGATGCTTCTCTGCGACAGGACGTTGCTCCGAGTCCATGCTGTTGTCCAAGTCAGACAACTTACGGACTGTCATTTTGATGGCTTTACAGTAAATAGTAGAGATAAAGGGGGTCAGAGAGCACTGGTGAATGTAGTGATTGATTGTTTGGTGATGTCAAGAAAAGACAACCTGCATCTTGCCTTCTTATATATGAGGAAACACTGCAGTCATCAGGAGAAATCAATTCAAGAGGACAGAGGAGAGACTGTCTCATCTTTCGGCGTCTTGACTATAGCCCGTGCCATGCACCAATTTTCAGCTGAAGCAAAAGGTGCGCGCGACTGGTAAATTCTGATTGCTTACTCAAACTCCGCCACTACCATTTTGGGACTTTGAGCTGACGTAGTAGGTAGGTATGTATGTATTACTGCTTTCATCGCTCTACGGCCTGTTAAAGCTCAACATGTCTCCGAATGGGAGCGGACGATAAACAAGAAGCAGACCAGAAAGACCGATATCCGAGATCCGGCTCATCTCTCTCATATCGAGATCTCTCTGAATAGTGATCAACTGCCGAGTTATCAGATAATCGCAAGCTTACAGGTGGTGAAATTGGATCCATACACGTCCATGCATGTCAGCAATCTCGGGGTTTAGATTATTTCTTTTCGTATCACCTCCTAATGCATGTGAATTCAGCTTCTGAGTAAGATTTCGCCCAGTTCCTGAATCCGTCCCGACTTGTTGGCTCGTTCATGTGATTGGCTCGTAATAGCTTAATTCCCGAGTAATAGGGCTGAATCTCGACCAGGGTCGCCGACGAGCCGAAGACTCGACATCACCGAGGGCCGTTTTAGACGGCGAAGGGCAAGAATATAAAAGCTTATTCTTGATCTACATTGGAAATCCAGTGTCTTTGAGGCCCGAGAGTCAAGCTGACTTATCCGGGCTCCATCATCTTCGACTCAGCATCCTCACGTCTCAGAGATAGGTATCGTTTAAATAGATGCCATGCCGGGAATAACGTGTAACCTCGAATGTCCAAGGAGGGCTATAATACTCTGTATATAACAGTCTCACTACTTCTCATTACATGTACATTTTGCATCTATCCATCTTGTTATTACAACAATGCATCAAAGTCTCTCTGGTCGAAGCCAGCAGCCAAACGCCAGGCTTTAAATCAAGTCCCAAGTACAAATTGTTCCTGGAAACCCAGTAATGTTTAATTCCATTGCTTGTTCCCAGGATCAGCCCAATGACCCATCATACCAGGCACAACCTGCATATCCTCAAACTCGTGAATCATCGCGTCGTCTGCCGCAATCTTCTCCATCGCCTCATCATGGGTCATACTGATCCAGAATTGGGGCAATATCCTATGTTGCTTCTTGACCTGGTAAATGCTTCGAGCCATGCTCTTCACAGAACTACTCTCTCGCTCTGAAGCACTCCATACTAAAGACATTCGTGAGAGGGCACCAATGTTGAGACGGAGTACCTGGCGTAAATTGTTCTCGCTATCGGGAGTAAATATAGCCCATCTGTTGAGATGGATTATAGATGACATTGTCACCACGTAACTGAAGAAGTGGCTGTGAGAAAGTAGCGAGACACGATGGGTGACAAGTTTGCTAATCTCTGTCGCGGCTTGTATTATGTTCTCCGTATGATTGTTGAAGCCATCTACTGACGAAACAGAATCGTATTGGTCGGTTTGGTTGTTTGACTGGCTCAGTATCGAGTTCAGCTGTGAGTATGGTTGGTGAAGCAGAATCGATGTAGCGTGTGTTATCATGTGAGCTTGAAAGAGCATCTCATCAAAATGGCCATATTGCCGTAAAGCTTCTGCCTTTGACTTGGGTAAGCTGACTCGCCAACTCGTCAGCATCGTCTGAATGTTTCTGAGGCTTTCGTCGTCGGGTCCAGAAACGGGAGGAATTCTCAAGAGTCGCCCGAGGTTTTGAGCCGCTTGGATTCGATACGCGAAAGACGAAAATTCGTGGTTTGTGCCGGAGAAGTCACTATCATTCATATCCCTGAGATACATTGGCTCGGGAATGTCCTACAGAGTCAAATAGGTCAGAGAGATTCTGCCATATGAGGAAATTGATATCTTACACCAGACAGATATTCATATTCCTCGCAAGGCAAGGCAACATCAGAAGCTACATCGAACAGAAAAAAGTTCGTGCTTCGATGGACTCCAGCGATTAGCCCGTCCACAATGAAAAGCTCCCACCACGTCCGCCTCCAACTCTCTTCCATCATTGGAATACCTCTTCCGTAAGTAGTCGCATATGATCTCGTATTGAGGCCAATATCCACAGAGATTCTCTCAAGTCCAGTTAATATTTGTCGAGCTTGTTCCTGTTGGCCTTGCCCATCCAACCCGATCAGAAGGAGTAACAAAGCCTGTACAAGGAACCCATCTTTTCGACGACGCGGTTCGTAAATAAGTTGATGAGCTTCCTGGAAGAACCTTCCACGCTCTGAACATGCTGGGATGTGTAATGAGCCGATCCAGCGCATTACTGCGAGTACGGGCATCACAGAACTCTCGTGGGAGATCATCAGAAGTGACTCCTTCGGCAACACAAAAGGATGCGCTGCATGGAAATGGTTGTAAAACGAGTCTATACAGCGTTCGGGCAGAGTCAGTGCAGGAACATGAGTCACGACGTGTTCATGCTGTGGACTCGTGAACAAGTTGAGCATATCGGTTGATGTATCTGTTGTGTCGTACGGCCCGAAGAAAGACATATCGCTCTCCATGCTGTTACTAGCGTCCAAGGCAGGGTCGAGAAAAGGTGTCGATAATGGTGAGTTGAACATGTCGTCGCTCATATTGGGACTCAAAAATAAGGATGAGCCTAGTGAAGCAGAACGTTCTGGTCTTGAAGTCACTGAGCTTTCGCCGCTACGTGTTCGAGTTCGAGCTGGAGATACTCCATGCTTCTTGCTATTCTTTTGAACAGTGTTTCTTCGAGGGCCTTTGTAGCCCCGTCTTGAAGCCACATAGACACACTCAGAGCCAGAACTCAGGCAGCGAGAACAAGGATTTACACCATCGCATTTCAGGTGTCTACCCCGCTAAGAGAGAAATGATGTTAACAGTGGCTCTGCCTCATTACAAGAGATAGTACTTACACAAGCCAGACAAGCAGCCGGGACAGAAGTGACACTCATGCGACTACTCTCAGCTGTTGTAGACGTTGATCCACAAGGTGAGGCCCTCCCATCGACACCAGAGCTCGGCGAATTTGAGTTGGAGGACAGTTCATCGTTTCCCGAGTATGTATCTTCTCTATTTGAGTTTGAGGTTGTCTGGTGGAATGAGTTTCTGGAGCTCATTGTCGGAGAATACCACATGTAGGATGTGTTGAGAGGGTCAGAATAGAATGAATAAGGTTGAGGGGAGGGAAACGGCGAGGAGAACTCGGAATGAGTCCCAGAGAAAGTCTTCCTTCTTTCATCCATTGATGCGCACTTCTTTGAGGATTGTTAGTGGTTTCAAGAAAGGAATCAAAGTTTCGATATAAGCCAATAGTGGGTATTTCGAGACTGAGGCGTTGCCGGTAGTTGATTTAATGATGGGACTTAGGCCCCAGGTGCTGACTGTGTCTTAGTCGAGTTCAGATCTTGAATCCCGCTTTCTAAAAGAAGGCGGCCGCTTGGCTTAGATCTATAAGTGAACCTTGCTAGGGTGCCAAAGACAATATCTCTCTGAAGGGCGCAAGTGATCCAAGGTGAGGATGTTTGTTGAATAATCAACTCTCGCTTGAGATGTCTGCCTGTATAGACTTGAGAGGGAAATGGAAGATGGAAGAAGATTAATAATACTTCGAAACGAATACGCTTCTGCATGGCCTGCCTGTTATAGATATCCTTCCTCAGGCACAGAACAACGTCATGTCACTGGTGAACGAGCCGAATCTCCGAATGATTTCAAAAGCAACCCTGGTACCAAGTCCAAATAGGACATTTAAGCGCCAGTCTCGATATCATCATGCTTCACTCGGAGGGCTATGAACGGAACCCGGCATTTCCATCATCGCAAACCGTGTACAGCCAAGCATCTCTCTTACAAGGACCATCTTCAGCCCTAGCACTAGCAAACAGCGGTAGTTCAGGGATCACAGAACAAGTAACTATTTGAGATTGGGGGTTATACCCCCTACTCCATACTCTCTTCTCCATCCACCTCATTCTGCCACTTGCATCATTCGCTTGCGTTGTCATTGTATTCGCTTGTGCCGCACAGGTTCAAAGATGACAGGGGTAAGCTTGGTCCGACCTCGAAATGCAGACAGAGACTCATGTCAGCCAGTAAGGTTAACCAAACTAGCGGACGCCCGCCCAAACTGTCGGTGCCACATGTTGAAATGGTGCAACGCTCGTTTATTAGTTGAGTGTCTAGCCTAGAGGAGGCAAGAAATCTCAAGGACCTCTATCCTAGGGGATGAAAATATTTGAATAACTGTAGCCTAAGCTTGGGGGGTCTTTATTAAGTTTATTTCAACACCCTCTTCTGAAGCCTCAGGTTTCTTTTGCCTTGCCTTGTGAAGCACATTTTGAAGAGGCTAGTCACAATTACTAAGTAACCCCGAGTCTTTAACATGGGACTAAGTTATCTCCAGGAGCTTATAACCACTAACTGCGGGCGTTATATTTGAGAGCCGAGGCTACCAGCTCAAGGGTGTGTCTAAGTGAATGGCAGCTTCGACATGGGCCAATCAGGTCAGTCAGCTCGTACAAGATGATCCATTTCTATAAACGGCCATGCAGGTTTCATTGCTTCAGAATATTGATGAGTGAACAAGAGAGAAGAGCATGTCACTTAGTTCCCGTTTAGACGATCCTCATCCCATTCCAGTACCGAACATGATGCAGCATGCACGCCTTTGCCGCATCCCGACGTTGTCGGGCTTGGCATATCAGAAGGACAGGGGTGAGAGGTATTTGCATTCTTTTGGTCTTGACCTCGTGGCTGCGACATGTCTGTGGGTGTGAAGGCCGGCACTCAGACATCCCGGCCACACTGCCTCGACGTCAACTCTAGTAACTATATGCGAGTCTAACAATACTTTGAGGCTATCGTCGTGCTTATGGCTTCACCCAAAGGTCTAATTCTAAAACCTTAGTTCTTAGCACCAAAGATCGTATCATTGCATAGCATCATAACTGGCTGGCTAAAGTGCTGTCATTACCCAAGCTTTTGCTAAGCTAAATCTTGCATTCACCAGAGGTCCTGTTGCAGCTTGAAAGGTGTGTGGGTATCCTCCCCAAGCCGTTACAAGGCACCGGAAATCATGTCGGCAAGGTGATGCAACGCTGCGAGGTCCGTCTCTGCGGAAGTTCAAGGCCGCGGAGGTGGAAGTGGGAGTGGAAGTGGGAGTCAACTCAAGCCACGTTTTTACGCTTACTTGAGCCAGTAAGCCACGCAATTCTAGAACTGGCTTGGAAGATATCTCTACCAAAAAGTGATGAATTGCGGCCCGCAAGCGGTGTTGCGGCTTCTATCACGGACCGCGTACCCGGGATATTGGATGGCTTACTGAGAGCTGATGAGGATCAACTCCATAATTAGTAAGAATTAGAAGACGTTGACAAGAACTTCCAAAAATACAATTGGTCTAACTCGACGCGGAATTTGAGAAATGACGTATTTGATTTCCCGCAGGCTGACTCACAAGATGGTTCAAGCTGCCAGCATCAACCTTAAACAAACATCCATCACGTAGGTAGGTGAAGGTATAGCTTGGTGTTTAGCATGTCGGAGAAGCCGTCTGCATGTAACATCCGGATCTACAGCTACAATCCGAGTTAAATCCTAACGAATCATGTTGTAGCTTCTGGTGACAGGACATTCCATATTAAGTTAAGCTTAAGACATGGGTCTGGAGAAGCTGAACAAGAAGTGCTGTAGGCAACCGTTTACTCAAGTCCTGTAGGCGGTCTGCTTAACAATTTCCAACTCAGGTTTCAGAGTAGCGCAACATGACTGGCCTCAGGACTTCGAATCAGTTCTCAACTTCACAAACTACCGGCGTTAAGAAGATCATGCATGAAGCGGACGCGGAAGTGGCAGTTGCTTAAGGACCCTGGTCTCGAAGGATTCATTGTACATCCGATCCATGGCAATTCGGGTCCTTTCGGCATTTATACGTCCCTTACTCATGGTAACGGGGTTGCTTACACGACACGACACGACACAACACAACACGGCGGGTGTCGCTAATACGAAAAAGTGATCGACAAGATAGATAGACGAACAGTGCACGAGTCAATTGCAGCCCTGTTGAAGGATCCGAACGACTCGATCATTCTTGTACGAGGAATGCCATTGGCCGCATTTACGGATTTCCATATTCGACGTCAATCAACCAGCCTTTGATCCAGATCATTCATCGTCTTTCTGTCTCTCCCTTCTATCTCCGGGCTGCTTATCATAGCTCCCACCAATCATCACCTCATCCCAACCTCGCATGATCCCCCGCAGTGTCAAATACAGCACATAATTTTAGCTCCTGAACCACCCGCTGAGTGACAAGAAATCACTCTATCACATCCTTCACAGCGAGTTCGTCGGCCGCCTCGTACATACCCTGCTCAGCCGCACAGCCTCTCTGCCCTGTCAGGAGCCCTAAAATAAGCTGCAGTAGGGCCCAATGGACCCTGTATCCCTTGCCGGCTTGGCACTTGGAGTTGCTTCCATCAGCCTCCAGGTCTACACAGGATGTATTCAAGGTAGGTAATTCTAGTTCATCGTAACCAGCATAACATGTGAAATTGACATCCATCAGGGATACAGCTCCTTGTTACGGCATTGGGCTATGAGGACGAGTGCAAATATCTCAATCTCCGTCTCAGGATGGAACAGCAGCGCCTGTTTTGCTGGAGTGAGGCTTCTGGCCTCCTTGACCTTGATGCCAAGAACCAAGACAAGGTTCTCAACTCAAACGTATTCAATCTTCACCGCCAGACTGTAATTGATCTGCTTGTCCAAATCCAGTGTCTCTTCAATGAGTTTACAGAATACCAGCAGAAGCACAATAACCTTTCTACCGTCGTGGATAAAGATGGTGTTTTGGATGCTCCAGAAAAAGATGCCAAGCTGTCAAACTATCCTATGAGTGATAAGAAACGGAACTTTATCAAAAAGGCCATGGCTGGACTCAAGTCCAAATCATCAGAAGGCCTTACCAGGTTAAGGTGGACGTCATTTGACAAGCAAGGGTTTGAAAAGTTGCTGGCCAAGTTTTCAGTTCTAAACGACAATATGACCAATATTCTTGACCATTCCTTACAGGTTGAGATTCGCAATACCGTACAGGATACCAATCGTGGGGTCCTGTTACTCCATCACAAGATAGCCGATCTGAGTCATCTTGTGTTAGCTCTCAAGTCTCAGCTCGATGCAGGTTCCCGGGTCGGACCATCGCAAATGTCCAAACTGGAAAGGGAAGCCAACGCTGACGCTCTACGGCAATTATCAAGGTTGGCCAAGTTCAAGGCCTTCAATGAGACTATCGATCCCAAGTCAGATAGCCCAGCAGTCTTTGACGAAGCTGCTGCAAAGTTCCTCGATCTTGCAAAGCCAGGTCATCAGCGCAATCTATTCATCCCTCGATACCTCATAGAGCTGGACCCCGAGGTGGATGAATCAGAGGCTCCGCGGTGTGAGGCTTTCATGAAGACAGCAGAAGGCAAGAAAAAGGTGTGGATTGAGTGGAAGGACTATGACAATACAGATACCCAACCAGGTTCGCTATCAAAGGCCGATATCATTGAGAGAGTCCAAAAACTTGCTGCTTTGCTGAATCATAGTCCCAAGCCCAAGGCCT